GTACACTATATACTATATATTAAGACAAACATTTGACTGATGTTAGATATGAACTGTACCTAACTGTTACAACTTTTGTGATAAACTATAATTTTAGATGGTGTTTCCATTATAAAAGTAATATATGCTGGTTATGAAAAATTGAAACAATACTGTTTAAAACTATTAAATAACTATTAAATGGATACTGCAATAACTGGAAGTTCCTTACATGCCTCACTCATTTTTTTTTTTTAACACAAATAGGATCATAATATATATACTAGTAAAAAAAGTTTGCTTTTTTTACTTAGTCATACTCTTTAACTTGAAGACCATTTTTTCTAAACACATGTAAATTTAGGAAAAGCAGAAATTAAGAACAAGATCACAGTGGTAAATTTGCCTGTGTTGACATTACTTTCGCTGTCATGAAATCTGTAATTGAAAATAGACCCTATTCAAAATGGAAACTTAATAATAATAAAATAGAATAATAACTACTGATTTTTCTTCAAATCTTTCCTTATTTGTATTTTTTTTTCTTTTCTTTGAATTTCCATATTTTTATTGTATGATAGGCACAGGTTCAGTATCAACAGCAGCATGAACAACAGAAAAAAGATTTAGAAATTCTTCATCAGAGGAATATGAACCAACTACAAAACAGACTGTCTGAGTTAGAAGTGGCTAACAAAGACCTAACTGAAAGGAAATATAAAGGAGACTCCACTATCAGGGAACTTAAAGCAAAACTCTCTGGTGTTGAAGAGGTATAGAATGTTGGGTTTTTGTTTTTTCCCAGTTTAAATGTTAATATTTTAATTTGATTAGCATTACTTTCGTGAGTGGTCTTCTGGAGCAGCCAGTTTAAAGATTTCTTGTGTGTTAGGATAATCAGTTCAGACAATGCAAAGAAAATTGAGAATTTGAAATCTGATAAAGGAGGCTTCTCCAGAACAGAACTGAGGTAAACTTTTTTTTTTTTTTAATTGTAGTTTGGGTGAAAGCTTGCAGAGCAAGGTAGTTTTCCATTCAACAATTCATTCACATTTTGTTTCATGTCATTGATTGCAGTCCCCTCAGTGAAACATCACTCCTCCTACTTCCTCTGTGTTTCTCGTTTCCATTCCTCCTTCTTTCCTAACCCTTTTGCTGCCCTTTTGATCTCAAATGGTTGTTCTAAGGAGTATGTACCTTCTTAGTGTTACTGTTCACCTTGTAGACCTGTCTTTTGTTTGGCTGAAAATTGAACCATGGAGTGAGTTCAGTTCCAGGTCAGAAGGATGACCCAGGGCTATAATCTCAGGGGTTCCACCAGTCTCTATCCAACCAATAAGCCTGGTCATTTTTAAAATATTTGAATAAACTTAGATTTTTAATTAGACTCTTGAAGAGCAGCTGACTGGCACAGGTCTCAGATTTTCAGGAAGACTGGGCAATCTACTTCCATAGAGATACAGCCTCAGAGACCCAAGGAGGGGTTGCTATGAGTCTAGTTGACTTGACTGCAGTGAGTTCTAACGTTAGCCCAGTGCGGTGTTGTAAATTATATGGTATGGCTTTTTCTAGCCGTAGTCTTTGTAACACACACTTAGCCATGAGTAGCTGATTGTTAAAGTTATCCACCTGATGTATTTCTGTTGGTGGGGCACAAACCAATCTTCGGGGAAGATTGTTTTCTCTCAGGTGTATAGAATTCTGATGTTGGGATTGGTTGGTTTTGGCCACTTTGCCAGGCTCAAAAAGGAGCCCTCCTAGAGAGAGACAGAGGAGCTCTGGTAGCATAGTGCCTAAGGCACTTGACTGCTAACCAGAAGGCTGGCGGTTCAAACCCACCAGCCACTCCTCGGAAGGA